TTGTGTGCGAGAGCCGGCTGTTGAATGTTTGGACTGTTTATGGCTGTGAATCCGACGGGAGTTTTGTAAAAAAGATAAGTTGGAATTGTGACAGCGAGAAGTGCCTGACAAGCGCTTATAAGTCAACAATTGCGAGGAGGACCCATAGAGAGTCTGGGAGCGAATATAAAAGCGAAAATGAAATTATACCATTCTCGAAAATGGGGACCTCCGGTAATGGCATGAAAAGAAGAGGATTTATAGTACATGAACTGAGCGTATTAACAACAACCCGAAGGAGGATCTAACAAGCCGGAAGGAGAAGACAACAGAGGAAGCTCCTCCACGTCAGCGATAGTAAAAGTACCCAGCACGCAAAGAAGCGGTTCTGAATGTGCACAGAAGAGATCCTTTTTATTAACAGAATCTCAAAGGAACATTACTAACATACTAACAGAGAATACATGTAACAGGACTAAGAAAAGAAGTTTGGCAACACACAGAAGAAGCCCAAGAAGATTAATTGGACATTACTAACAGTTTAATTTACCAGTTTATATATCACTCAGCTTTCTCTTTCTCCCACTGTCTACCCCTCCCTTTTTTTCTTTTAAGCGAAATACCTCCCCTTTTTAGGGGAGCTAATAAAACCTTTATTAAAAAAAAAACAATAAGAGGGATATTGCCTTCAGCCAGAAGAGACATTTTGTTCATCAAGCCACACACAGACAGAGATTGCAAGCTACTGGTCTTTAGTGAAGTTACTTCAAAATGATTGTGGATTATGTGTTGTGTGCATTGTCACTTCTCTGCAACTATCAATGTATGATACCTGGACAGTATGATATGCAGTTTACTGAAATAAGCAACACATTTTACAGAGATGAAACTGGAATCACTGGCTCCAATTGAATAGACAACAAGCTCCATAAACAGGAATGATACTGGCCATAATCTTTGAGCGGCTTCCCCAAGATATGTCTCAATGAACAGCTCACCTGTCTAAGTTGATAAAGATGATACTTTCAGAATCATCAATCAACACCCTGAGTTCACGAGTTTCATTAGCAAGATCTTCTGCTTGCCTGTAATAATTCTCCAGTAGCAGCTCCATCTCTTCTGCGTGGTCAATTCCAGAAATACTCTCCTCACTGTGAACAAATGTATTATTAAGATATTAAAAGATACAGTGACTCTTCTAATAAACTCAGTTTAAAGTTTTGAACTCCCTTGTAGGCGCAGCTACCACCTTTATTGGCATAACAAGGTAGGATACAACAAAACACGTGAGCGAGATTTGAGGGGAAAATAAAAAACAGTCTACAGAAATTCTCCAAAACAAGCGGCATAGCAGAAACTAAGTACAGCTGGATCTTAACTAAGAAAAGTAGGCACGTAATCTTCCCCTATCTAGCACTTTTACCACTTTTGGCTTCTATCTCTTTTGCTGCTAGGGCCAGGAACTTCGCCACCCGATCGGTGACTGAGGAGCGTTTGTCGGCTAACAAAGGTTCTATCTGTTTATTTAATATAAGACTGGGGGCTGGGAGAAGTGGTTTAATCAGGTGGCATTGGTGGGGAGTGATACCAGCCTATTCTGAATACAGGACCAGGCAGGGCTTTATTAGCTCTCTTGTTAAGTACAACAGCTGGTTGTTAAGATACTGCAGTGTGCCTTGGTAGCCAAAGTACAGTGTATCACCCTTAAAACTATGGCTTCTGTTCTTCATCACCACGTGGTAAGAGTTTACAATGCAAGGCATAGACACTATGTAGTACTCCATGTCGCCTCACTCTTGCTGTAATTTTGTGTATGTTTTAAGTGCCATTTTATGTGTTTGTTTTGTATACCTGAAAGACAACTTGTTTTTCTAAAGGAAGTCTCCCAGTCCCACAACTACAAATGCTAGAAATGATGTGCAATTCTGACCACTTTTAAACTGTATTGTCTGGTAGAATCTCCCTGGAACTAGATTGCCTTGAAGGGTCCCAAAAGGAAACAGACTCTTCAGCCTCCACGTTTTGCAGACGTCACACTTCAGCAACTTAGTTCCACTAACCTCTCAGTAGGAAGAGAATGGCAACAGTTGCTGCACCATGAAATGGACTGGGCCACCTATTTTCCTGACAGAAACAAGACTTTCAAGCACACCTTCACCCTAAGATCAGGATTGTTTGAATATGGTTGTGTATAATAATGGCAGCCATCTTCACAGTTGGCCATCACCTGCACAAGCCAGTGGCTTTGAAAAATCCAACAGTACATTTTACACAGGTGTAAATAATACACCATTCCTCCTCCTGCATATTTGGGAGATTAGTCTGGACTATCAAATGTGTACTCTTGGAACTCATACCTGAAGACACGCCAGTATATACTTACAATACTTGTGGGTCTGTCCATTTAGTTAGGCACAACTCCTCTATGAGTTCTTCCTCATCAAGGATTTCCAATATTGTTTCCTTAAATACTTTAATATCCGTTTCTAACTCTGACAAGCTGAGGGGGAAAAAAACACAGGAGAAACAATAAAATATTTTGACTTTTTGGCTTGCTGTGTCAGTTGTAGGGAGTCTGACTGAGGATGTACCACCCCTAAAACCTCTCCTTAACAAAGTGGCTCTTTTCAATGCTTGGGTGGAATTGCCCAGAATACTCATGAAATGTTAGAATAAGTGGAGACCACTAACAAGATGTAAGAAATGGCCATCAGCTTGACATAGACATGGGCAGAGAATGGGGGGGGGGGAGCATTCCATACAGTATGCAAAATCCACACCCTTGTCTTGTAATCAGAGATCATCTTATTATCTGCCTTCCTCCACCCATAACTACAATAGGCATTGTGAGCATATGTTTGTGAGAAACTCTCATCTGGATGCTGCCTTTAGCTGACACAAAACAAAACAGAAATTATGCAGCAGTTTCAGTAAAACTCAGGAACCCACTTTTAAATATACTGCCAAAAGGTTTGGTAGCGACCCCAGTAGGAGCCATTTACCAAACCATGCAATTGCATTAAAGCTCAATTCAGGGGTCTTTTTGTAGAAAGAGAGCTGCCGGAGCTCATTAGCACAACGCATTAGCATATGCCACACCCCGACATCACCAGCAGGGCCAAAACTCCAAGAGCCCACCCACTCTTGCCCCCCAAGCACCAAGAATAGAGAGCATCACTGCGCCAGACATAAGAACATAAGAAAAGCCATGTTGGATCAGGCCAGTGGCCCATCCAGTCCAACACTCTGTGTCACACATCAGCCAAAAATACCAGGTGCCCTCAGTAGGTCCGGCAGTGGGGTCAGAACACCAGAAGCCCTCCCACTGTCCCCCCCCCCAAGCACCAAGAATACAGAGCATCCCTTGCCCCAGACATAAGAACATAAGAGAAGCCAATGCTGGATCAGGCCAATGACCCCTCCAGTCCAACTCTCTGTTGAACAGGGGCCTAAAACACAAGGGGCCATCAGGAGGTCCAGCAGGGGGGCCAGGACACCAGAAGCCCTCCCACTGTCCCGCCCCCCCAAGCACCAAGAATACAGAGCATCCCTTGCCCCAGACATAAGAACATAAGAGAAGCCAATGCTGGATCAGGCCAATGACCCCTCCAGTCCAACTCTCTGTTACACAGGGGCCAAAAATACCAGGGGCCATCAGAAGGTCCAGCAGTGGGGCCAGGACACAAGAAGCTCTCCCACTGTTCCCCCCCAATCACCAAGAATACAGAGCATCCCTTTTGCGCTGCTCGCCCCAGCTCCCAGCACGGCCGGGGGCAGTGTGGGAAGCCCACTGATCCCCCCCCCGCGCGCCCTGGAAATCTGCGTTTCCACCCGCCCCGGGGGGTCTGCTGCTGCTGCCAGCGCAGGACGCCCGGCCCGGCTCATCTCTCGCTGTGGGGCCCCACAGAGCCTGGAGCAAGGGAGAGATGAGCCGAGCCAGGCTTCCTGCGCTGGCAGTAGATCTCCGGGGCGCGTGGGGGGGGGGTTTCGGTGGGCTTCCCGAGCCAGATGCACGCCGCAGCTCACCCGCCCTCCCCCTCCCCCCTGGGCGCGGGGGCCACGTGGGAAGCCCACCGATCTCCCCCCCCTGTCCTGGAGATCTGCTGCTACTGCTGCCGCCAGCGCACGACGCCTGGCCTGGCTCATCTCTCACTCCCTTCAGGATCCGCGGGGCCCCGCAGAGCCTGGAGCGAACGAGAGATGAGCTGGGCCAGGCGTCCTGCGCTAGCAGCAGCAGCAGATCTCCAGGGTGCGCGGGGGGGAGATCGGTGGGCTTCTCGAGCGAGACCCGCGCCACAGCTCACCCCCCCTCCCCCCTGGGGCCAGGGGCCACGTGGGAAGCCCACCGATCCCCCCCCGCCTGCCCTGGAGATCTGCTGCTGCTGCCAGCGCCGGACACCCGGCCCGGCT